AAGCACATACAAGAGTCATTGGTCACTGTAGACTCAACAAGGTTCTGGGAAAACCAAAGGCATCATTTTTGACTTGTGGTGAGATAAAGTTTTGAATTTCCTTGCAGTTTTTATTCAATGAGAGCTAAGTCTAGAAAAGGTATGGTGAAACTCCAAAATTTTGAAAGAATTACCCTGTTTTAGGCTTTGTTTATCCTTTTTTCAGTAATCGTTTTTAGGTTATCTGTTTTTGGTTATCTTTGTTTTTCCTTTTCTCATGTTCTCCCAACATCTCTCTTGGGTTGTTACATGGGTAAATCAATAGAAAGTGTGGTCTACTGCTTAAATAATTCTAGAATGTTTTATGTCTAATACTAACTACTTTTTTGACTTATTAGTGGTGATAGGAAAGGCTTATAGAGGATGTGGACTTGGAAGAAAGCTCATGCAGCTCACAGAAAGCTATGCATCTCAGTTAGTTTTCAACTCTTTTATTATTAAAGTATGTTTAAATTTATCTGTAGACTTGTTTACAGTTGTGAGAATTCATCCTGATCTTCCCTAACTGGAACAGAGTAGTAGTATTATCATTTCACCTGGGAATCCAGACTTCATTGACATTGGAAGAAATCCCATTTGTTGCAGTTTGTTATTATCTTCTATAAATGTTTAAATGGACTTTTTGTTAGAAATTTTGAAATAATAGATACATGAAAATAATAAAAAATGGTCATGAGTTTTTTTTACATACAATTTAGTAAGAAGATGCATTATTCTTCATATTCACTCACAGACTCTTGCATCTATTCTTTCAATTTTAGGCTAGGATTGACAGCAATTTACCTCTCAACATACAATAAGTATGAGTTTTATAAACATCTTGGTTATCATGAATGTACTCAAGTCACTCCAATTAAAGCAAGCTCAAGCCTATTTATTAACTCTCAGGTAATGAACTATGAATTAAATTGGGAGGAATTAGAATTTAATATTTTCTGGATATGATATTTTGTTAGTTTAGACACATTTTATGTTTTTTTTTCCATTTCAGCTTAATTTACTAGGTGAGCAGGTTGGAGAAGGGGATAATCTGACAGTAAATCAAGGGGAATATGACTTACCTCATTTCAGTCCTGAAAACTCTGTTTCAAGGAATCAAGAAGCCATGTTTAATGAATTGAATCAAAGGGAGAAGGAGCAAAATATTCACCAACAACAGCAAGAGATTGACAATGATCATGGAGCCAGAGAGAGGGAAACAAGTTGTTGCTCATCATCATTGGTTCAACTCACAGAGGCAGTGACACTCACATCATTGCAACAAGCATCCCCACCCCCTCCCCTGCCCCCTCCTCCTCCTCCTCCCCCTCCTCCACCTCTTTCTCTGCAATCTCCACCTAGTCAATTGAGATCTATTCTTGCAAAATCAACTTGGATGATGAAAGAACTCATTTCATAATTACTAGTGAAATTATTTGTCACAAAGTTGAAATGTCATCAGTGCATTTATGCTAAGTTAATCTCATCAAACCACTTTATTATCTAACCATGAATCAGTTCTCTTTTTACTCCATAAATCAAATTTTTAATCAGTTTTATGGCCCATGTGAATCTTTTATACCTCATGGTTTTATTTGGACCTTACCCTTTTCCTGCGGGATTTTTCATCGATCACACACATTTATAGTATTGCGGACGTATGCGCAATTTATGTGTACATTATATGGGAAGCCATTTGTGCCAAAATTATCAACCGCTAGTAACATCATCACCATGTAAGTAGGGGCAGCTGACATATAAAAACGTTACTAATTGTTCTTAAAGGGTATATTCGAGTAATTTCTGAGAGAAAAATGGATAAAAATAGATCAGTATCTACGCATTTTTAGCGCGTGATCTTTGGCTTCAAGCTAACAGGAAGAGGTGTGTAGGTGTGAAAGTCTTCACGTACGATCGCATGCTTCTACAAGCCTCCTTTGAAAGTTTGTGAAGAAAAACTCTGAGGGATTTTTTAATATTCTAAATTAAAAATGGACACAATGGTCATTTTGGAAACATTTCAGTTTCCTTTCATAGTTATCCTCTATTTTAAAATGTGATTAAAATGATAGAAAAAGTCCCCATCCATATTACCCAATTTAGCAAGCTTGCGTACATACGAAATCGGCCATGACGTAATCCCTTGACGTCAACATTGCATTAATTAATATTGTATCGTGATTGGCTTGTTTTCAATTTTCTCTACAGATGATTGGTTGAAAACATGATTAAAACCTGTTTATCTAGTTTGACTAGTTAGGTGTTTCTGTACGTAAAGCAAACGTTTATTGCGTTGGTCAGTGTTTGGGGCACCGCTCGCAACTAGCAGAAGTAAGTCTTCGCGCTGTATATTCTTACTCTTTACATCGCTTTATTACTTAGCCTTAACTATATCTTCGCGAGAAAGATTTCCATCAAAGAGACGTCTTTGCAATCGATTTTGTGGGTTGTAGTGAAAAGTGTCACGTATCAACGAGTTCGAGCATTCAACAACTTTGCGTCGCTCATAAAACTTGGTACATCGAATCTGTCTATGTTCAAATAAATTCGGATTGAGAGGGACAACCTTCAGTATCAAGGAAGTCGTAAGAGAGACGAGAAGTCAAAATCAAGAAGAATAAGACAGCAAAAGCGTGTAAACCAGTTCGAAAGGGTTGAGTTCACCTCAGTATTGGCTAGCGTCGTATTAAGAGGGTCCCTCCGTTGCGTGGGCAGAGGTAGTAGAACTTAACGTTTTTACTGTTTTCCTTGCGAAAATAGCATGCACAGCCGTCCCATCGTCAAGACTAAACGCAGCAAACACTCCGTGTACTCAGACAGAGAATTATGGTCTTTGTTAACGACATCTTTAGAGAAGAAGAAAGCGAACAAAAGGAGACGGGATCCAGACATGTTAAGAAACGCTGTGTTGGAGTTGACAGTACAAAAACTAAACGAAGAGATCACAGACAGATGTATGAAAAAAGTGAAACGTCGAAAACTGGAGGATTCTTACGAATGGCAAGAGTCTCCGGACGGACTTGGATGGAACATGACAGCATCCTACCAAGATGATGAAGATCTTTTAGGTATCGACGACTTCTTTCAGAAATTAAGTACTAGCTGTAAAACTCGAAATAACTCGTCTACCATTTCTGAGACGTGATATCTCATTGTCTGTAATGGCAAGGAAAGCCTGTGAAGGCCCATTGCAGGAAAGAAAATTTAAGAAATCTTAAGCGGTCGTAGAGGAATATTCCAGTAATTTTTCTAGACTGATAAGATTATTCTTGTAAGTTTGGGTAATTCGCAGTTTTCCCTGATCTGTTTTTTTTTTCTTTTTTTTTTTTTTAATAAAAAAGGTAAACGAGTGAGTGCAAGTAAGAGTATTTGCAAATGTTTGTACATTTGATAAGTGGTGAAGCGATATAAACTATTTTTTTTAATTGTAAATATTACTATTTATTATAAATTTGTGAATAAAATTTATGTGAATACATAAGGGTTCAAGGTTTGATAAATTTTCACTTATTTATTGATTGCCTTCACAGTCACAGGTTGAACATTATTGTTCTACAGCAGATGTTCCGTCATTAACATCTCTTGCCTAGAGTACATCTAAAGCTTCTGAGAGAAGGTATTATATTCAGAGTTGTGAAGTACTTAAGATAGAAGCTTTAAGTAGCGAAAAAGGCTTGTGTTCACAAAGAGTTTGCCACAGAATTAAATTAAAATCAGATCGGCTATAATCTTGTTCTTAAGTTTGATTTGAAAAGGGAATTGCTGCTTGTGGCAAATGGTTTGAAAACAATAGTGTTGCAAATGAAGAGGAAAAATTGTTATAAATTAGTGATTTTAAATGTAAGTCATTTCTCTTGAAGCCTTGTGCAACACCGATGGTCACATGCTGTCAAGTGACGATTGAGGAAAGGGAGAAATCAATGGTGTGCACGGAGACAGCTGAAGTCACTGGTAAATGCAATGCATTTGCCTGTTCATTTAAATTGAATGTCTGCAGATGGCTTTTGAACTGTTTTCTTGTCAAGCCTCAAATAGAGGAGCTGAAGTAGTTGTTTTTGTCAACTCTCTAGTTCAGCTGCATACCTTCTGAAAATGCACTGGGGGACAAGTTTAAAGGCAAACGTCAAGGCTTGTTATGTAGTGATATTACGTGCAGTTAGTTAGAGCTAATAATTTGAAGAGGGTAAGCTAGAAATGAGGATTTTAAAAAATCAACAAATTGAGGGGTGAAGGTAATATGCTTAGCCCATGTAGCTAAAAATAACATTGACTTCCATTCATTTGACACTGCTGCATACAGGTTCTTGCTGTTATATTTTAATAGTAGTTATTGTTAGGGTTTGCAACAGTTGTTCCTTTGATTTGATCTTAAGTGGTGCCAAGAAACTGGCAAGCAAGTCCAATTGGAGCTATCAGACCTTGCAAAGGAAAAAGCAAGAATGTTAAGTACATCTATACAGATAAAAACCTCATTTACTTTAAGTCGTGGTTAAAGGAAGCATTGTCATGTCCCTCCTTATTCATGGTACAACTATGCTAGTCTTGGAAATGGGTTATGGAACTTGCGTGGATGGTAGATAGTTTGACACCTAAAGAGTACTTTTGAACTAGTGGAGTGGAAAGCTCAGAGCCAGTATTAGTAGTTATCTTGTTGTTCTCCAAAAGAATGGACAGACATCCCACTTCCTTGTTTCATCACTATGAAGTGTCTTGAATCCGAGATCAGTGTGTGTGTGTAGATGGATGTTGTGTTGCAGAGTGTTTTGCAGGCATTTCAATTCGTAGTTCAGCAACTGGAATCAGAACATCAGGTATTTCTGTTATCCAATCGTCTTTTGTCCACTCATAAGATATTCACAGTAGATCAAAAGAAGTATGCGTTTTTTGTAATTGCAGTAGTGTTTTGGGCAGGGTGTTGTTTGTTTCTCTATTATTATGCAGTCAAGTAGACTTGGCAATACAAGCCAGAGAGAATGATCCCAGAGGGTCATCAGCAATTGGTAGATCATTGGCATATCAGTGGAAACTGGATTCAAGCAATGTAAGCTGACAAAAATGAATTTATCACAATTCCTGCATTAGATTAGTATCATCAATGTGCCTGGTTTGCTACTTCAGCACCAAAACTGCACCTATCATGGACAGATTTAACACATCCCTGGGTGTTATGTATGGTGATCAGTGCAAATAAAGTTTACCAAGGATTGTATTTGCCATTCAGCCTTAAACAAAAGTTGAGCATCTCTTCCTCTCTTCATGGTTTGGCATCTAGTCATTTGATATTGTTCTTCTCCTCTTCACTACCCTTAAAGCCAGCCTAGCATTGTATAAAAGCGTTGCCAATGCATTTCGACAGAGAGAGACATTAATTTGCTACCCTAGACAAAACAAATTGACATTTTAGCATAAGATGTCAAACATGATACATATGACCTGACTGGACACTGATTCAGCCTAAAGAAAGATGCAAAATGAAGTAGCAACATGAGAGAAAGTAAAAGCTGCCCATTTAGTCTAGCCCCTGAGGATCTTGAAACCATCTTCCCCTATGATTCAGCCTAAACAAAGATGCAAAATGAAGTAGCAACATGAGAGAAAGTAAAAGCTGCCCGGTTAGTCTAGTCCCTGAGGATCTTGAAACCATCTACCCCAGTGATAGGACATGATGTGAGGAGCTGAAATGCTAGTAGTATTCCAGAATTAGCTTTGCCATCAGTGTAGAAAAGCTTTCACAGCTCCCATTTGATGGAAATAGCAAGCAGTTTTCCCAGTTTGAATGCAGACACTCTTTGGCAAATCTCATAGTAGAGGTCAGGATGTTTGAATTGCCCAAAGAATGCATGCTTTGAAGCTTTTTCAGCTATTCAGCAAGGAAGCAGCACCAAAATGATGAAATCAAACTGAAATCGCACCAAAATCATTACCTGTGGAGTAAGCATATTCATTGTTAGTAGTTCTTGTGGTGCTCTTGGCTCAATATACATGGTGAAGGTAACAAAATTTTTATTCAGATGAACTTCCTTTAGCAAGGAGAGCTAATCTCACTAGCAGATATTGGTTGTGTGACTTTTGCCCTCCTTGTAAGAGAATGCAACTAGCAATGCAGAAGAGCTGCTGATAAGGAAGACACACCTTGATTTCCATAAGTGCAATTTTCAGCCCTCCCCCATCATAATGTGGGATCAATGGGACTTTTTTGTCGTTAAAATCACATTCAACCATCAGTAGTGGCGAGTAGTAGTTTACAGTTGTACTTTCAAGTTGCAAGCATCTTTTTTGTGGTTAAAAATTTTCAAGCTTCTTTAACAGCCACTATTGTGATCTTTCCGGTTGTGTTGGATTCATCCTCGATTAAAAAAAGGGACTTAAATCTGTGAACTTCATAGGATCTGAAGAATCACTTAAAGACAATTTCCACCCAGCTAGGATTTCTTTTCATTCACTTAGATAGTCACTTCATCACACAAGGCAAGCTTTTGAGAGCGCAATGTTGGAATTTTGAATTTGTTTTCTACAGTGTGCGTGTGTGTAGCTTTCTCATCAGAGTCAAATGTAAGCAGATGGACCAAGCAGCAGTTGGCTATCCTTTGACTGTCCGCATGTTAGGTTGTTAAACCAAGCAAAAATGAAAGAAGGACTGATTATTCTGCAAAGAACACCAGTAATTGTATCTATCCTTGGAAATCCATTTTGCCCAAAGTCCCACTTCCCAAGTAGCGAGAGTACAGCAGCGGGTATTGAATTTCAAACCATCCTTTGATCCTTAGCACACCAAGCCATAGTTGGTTACTTTCTCCACTTCCTAGAAGTTATCATCAAAGAAAATACCAAGGTCAACAATATGTTTCCACTTGCATTAAGCCACAAGGTAGAGCTTTAGAGGATATTGGTTTTCAAATATACATAGCTTTGTTAGCAGAATTGGCTTCCAACTCAAGAAATTTGGCAAGAGTTTTGTCGTGATTGCAAATTGACCCAAGAAAATTGATTTGGCCTTTCACCCATGAGTGGCTTCCTCTTCCCCAGCATACTTTGGATGGATGTGCGTAGTTACTGAAGCTAGCTGGCAATTTGTACTTTCCTCAGCCCTTGGCACCTACTGAAATACTAGGTGGATGCCTTTGAAAGTAAAGTAACCAATAGAAAATAGAAGAAATTTCTCGGGAAGTCAGATTGGCTGGAGCAAGCATAATATTTAAAGTAACCTGCAGGATTGATAATATTCTAAGAAATAAGTACTCTTTTGTCAAGGTGATAACCCAACTGATTTCACAGGTAATAGCTTTTTTGAATGTGTTTTCCTTGTTTTCTGCTTGCTTGATGTGTTTTGTTTTTTTGTTTCTGAGAAAGTTGGGATGATAGAGCTTAGGTGTCAACTTGAAACGTAGCAAAACCCTACTGGTGTCTTCAAAGCAATGTCAAAAAGTTAATGTTTCTGACCCATTGGTGATAGAGATGACAACGCAGCTGTGGTGCATAATTCTAAAAGTTTAAAGCCCACCCTAAAAGTCACCTTAAGTTTCTCCTGTGTGATTGGGGACCTGATGTCTTGAGTCCATGCAATTAGATGAGAGAGAGAGAGAGGATTAGTTGTGCTGTATCTGTGAAGATGAGGAATCTAAGGAATGGCCTGTTTGCAAATTGAGCAACTGGATTTGTCTGGCAAGTAGTTTTGGATCAATTTTTCATACTATTTTTCTTGTGTGATAAGCAAATGCTTGCATTCCCTGAGACAGTTTTTTCCAGGACGGTGAAATCAGTGAAACAAGAGTGTGCAGGAGCCTTTATGTTACTAGTGACTCTGAGTAAGGCCTTCATTTTAGCCCAGCATTGAAGTGGCACTTGTTTAAGTTCTTGGAGAAGTGACTGTAATCAACTGATGACCTCTGCACAGCAGCAAGAACTAGATGCAGGCACAAGTTTTAAAGCCCCTCAGCTTTGCTCTGTAGCATGCTACTTAAAGTTTTCAGATAGTGAGAATTCATTTGATGGAAGAAGCTAAATCTTTGGATTACTATGAGAGTCAGAAAGCAGTGTGTAACATGGGTATTACTCATAATTTCAAAGTATGTCAAGGATTTCATTAAGGTAGTGAACATTTTCTTGAGCTTTTGAGTCTTTTTTTTTTTTCTCTTGTTTGTTCTGAATTCGGTTTTCAGCAGTTTTGTGGAGGAATCTGTCGGCAATGATCAGTGGTGATTTTCTGCCATAGTGGTGGTCTTAAATTTCAATTGGCAACTTCTTGAGGCGGCATTCCAGCTTTTAGCAAGGTGCAAGTTCCACTATCACTTTTAGATGTTAAATCAGCAGGCAAACCCAACCAATTTGGACATTTCACCATTCACGTGGCTTTCAGAAAAAGGCTTGCAGCATATCAGTAGGACTGGTCTGTATGGGTCTGGCCTCAGGTAGCTGAATTTAACTGAGATAATCCTGCAGAAAAAAAGAGGACAGAAGTACACGTACAATGACTGTTGGTGGAACTTCCTCAGAAGTGGTAATGTTAGGCAACCAAATTCATTCTTCCATTGTTTTAAAGAAAGAATCAGAAACACTTTGCACCATTTCAATTGATATGAGCAGTCCTAATTATCTGGTAAGGAAATATTTCAAACAAGTTTATGCATGGACTCAGTTATTTTGGGTATATTTTTTGGATCTTTTTCAAGTGTCTTTCAGAATGTATACAGTCTGTGTACAGTAGCAGTTTCTTGGAAAAGCATTTTTCTCAATTTTGAACAAGACTTCTTAGCATCCAGCAGCTTTCCCTGGTCCTTGTTAAAAACCTTAAATGTGCATCAAGCACGAAGGAAGGCCCTGCTAACCCAAAGGTGTGAACTTAATGGGTATTAAATGTTCTCTGCCTTACAATGGGTGCAGTTTGTGTGGAAACTTTTTGCCAGGTTTTCAGCCCCAGCGTGTGGTTCACAATTCACTCTATTGGTGGAATTAGTGCATTAGGACAAGGGCAATTTTCAGAGTAATCCTAGGGTCAGGAGGCACATTTTCAGGGTCAAATGTAAGTGCGTGCTGTAATTCTTCTCAAGTGAGTTTTGTCCTATTGGCTACCTTGTCAGTTTTTTTTTTTTGTGAGTTGTGTGTGCATGGTTTTAAATGACTTTGTTAGGAATATGTATGCAGAGTTAGCAACAATGGTTTTTTAGGACTGTATTGTACCCAATTCAAGTCCAAAATGGAATTGTCAGACCATAAAGTGGTTTTTCAGAATTTGGCAAGCACCTCGGAGGCAAATTCAGTGGTACACAAAAGACTGTATTGTACTCAATTCAAGTCCAAAATGGAATTGTCAGACCACCAAGAAATTTTTCAGAATTTGGCAAGCACCTCAGAGGCAAATTCAGTGGTACACAAAAGAAGTGAATATACCACATCCCGGAGAACTTAAACCTTCTTCAGAAATGCTGAGTAAAGTTAACCACTCTGAAGTCCTTCATCATTTTGGACCAAAACAACGCTTTTACCTGTTTGATATTAATATTTACAATAGTGCAGACCATCTGGTAAGGGAAACCTTCAAATCAACCATGTATGAGCATGTATTTCCTGTGGATTTCTTTTCTTTTAAGGAGTCTTTTTTCAGGGGATAAGCCTAGTAATTTCAGCAGCACTTTACCAAACCAACTGAAATTATGGAGCAGCAATAGCTTTGTGCCAGCTTTGAAAATTATCCAAGTCCTTTTGTGCCAAGGTAGCGTCACTGTGGTAATATCCAGTCCAGTTAAGTGGTTAAAAGTTAACCTCCTAGATCCTCGAAAGAGTTTTGCCATACCTGTCCAAGTTAAGGGCCATGTGCTGTCACTCAAGTGTAGCTGAACATGCTGTGTCTTAGAGAACCACATCCCTCTTGTGTATTTATGTGCCAGTGCATTGTCTATACCAGTTTCAGGACTGCCCAACGTACCGTGTATTTTGTTGCAACAAATTTATCAGAACTTGTCATTCTGGGGTAAAACAACCAGCATATTGGGTGCATTTTCGACCTGTTCCTAAAGAGCAAATTCATCTACACACATCTTGTATTCCATGTGTTGTGCCACCTGCCTTTTAGATGTCAAGTGTGTATTGCTTCATGGAAAGTGTCTGTTCAACAAAAAACAGCCCACTCATCAACAAACTTTTAAGATGAACATTTCAAAAAATCTGGTTATGTTACTCCTTCAAAGTCTGTGATTGTCTTGCTCCCATGGGCAGTCCCAAGTCCTAGTCACTGATTCTCTAAGTAGGCTGATCAGAAATTTACCAGTACATTCATGGAGGTGCAATTCACATCTGAATCCTTACTTGGTGGTTAAAGATTCTTGTAGAAGGTTAAATTAAAGGTTGGTTTTACGTTTTGGTTAATTTGTAGTATTTGTAATTAGACAATTCATATTTCTCAATTAAGTTATCCAGGGATGAGGTAATATAAAGACCGTACTGTCTCTCAAGAATTGTTCTTATGCTCTTGACTAAGTGACTTAATTAATAAGATATAGAGTTAAGTTTAACCTAGTAGTATCATCAAAACCAGTACATACTTTGTCAGACCTTACAGATATCGAGTATCACCAAGTAATGGAAGCTTTTTGGCTTCGGCAAGTATTTGTTTTGGAATGTTGCCTTTTTTGTTGTTAATATGTCTTAACTGTAATCACATGTCTTTCTTGTCATGAAAATCAGTGGAAGGGTTTACTGTGAAATACCATCTACTAAGATTTATTTCCCTTAGAAATGCATCATTAACTATTGTTAACATATTAGCTCCATAGCTATTTATGCTTGTGTATAAAGTCGAAACTGTGAAGAGCTTTGTCTGTGATTGGGGGGATATTTTTGTTCTCTTTTGATTGTTACCAGGCAAATTTGCATTTTTTGGATGGAATGTCAAGAATATGAAAAAGGCAAGCTTAACTTTCTGATCCTTAGTTTCATTATAGATTACTCTTTTTTTCATTTTGTAATCTAACATGCATTTTGATAGCGGTAGTTTGTAATTAACCTATTCCACACGTTTTTTTTTTAATTTATTTATTTACTGTAACTGAAAATCTTAGTTAGGTTGCAATACTTCATTATGTAATCTAGGATTTATTATGGGCAAACAGTGCATATTTTTGTCAACCTCTATAGCTATTAAGGTTGCTTATGTGATAGATGAAGCTCAGTTTCACTCATTTGGTCTGTGAGCAAAAGCAGCTGGGAATACTTTTTACAGGATAACAATCAAGGCTTAATCAAAAATTTCTGCTCTGAACTGCAAGTTGTCATCATGCAGCAATCATTTGGTTGATGCAGGTATTGATTTGAACTGTTGCCTTTTGAATTGTTAGGTCTTTGAAATATTTTGCATACTCTGATTAATTCACAGCGCTTTTTTCTGGATCAACAATTGTTGCCAGGTCATCTTTGCCCAAAATGGTTATGGCCTTGACTTGCTGTTTGCTGTCGGTCAGTTCAGTAGTTTGTCTTGTTCAAAATTTTTATGCAGAAATCTGTGCATATATCCTCTCTACACAGTGTTGTAATCTTGTTGGAAATGAAGGGCTTTCAAATGCATCCTCTTCATCCAGTTGATACAGGTATTGATGTGACCATTTGGCATCTGCTTTAATTTTTTCTCTGAGATGCATTACATACTTTGATCAATTCATAGTGATTTCTGTTGGAATATACTAGAATTCAACTTAATTTTGAAGTTTTCTTGGCATTGACTTTCAAGGCTGAGTTGGTCAGTGATTGAAGTTTAAAATTGTCGCCCAGAATCATTTCATTTCATCTCTTCAAGCAGATTTGTATTTTCACTGGGTGTTGTCACCCTTCCAAGTGCTGCCTCGTCATTTAGTTTACACAGGTATTCGCTTGACCTTTTGCCACCTGGAGCATTTTTTCTTTGAAATATATTGCATACTCTGATCTTTTTACAGCATTTTTTATTGAATGTGCTACTGTTGACACCTCAACTTGGCCTAAGATTTTATGGCCTTCGCTTTCCGGCATGCATAGGTCAGTTCCATGATGTGGCAGTTGAAATCAATGTGTAGAAATCTGTGTACATGTCCTCTATATACAGCTTCGTTAATCGATTGGATGCATATGTCCTTCAAATGCGATCTTGTCATTGTGTTGATTCAGGTATTCACTTAACGTTTTGCCTTCTGAACTGTTTTTCTTCAAAATGTATGACATACTCTGGTCAATTCACAGCAATATCTGTTTGAATGTGGAACTGTGGACAGCCCAACTTGGTCTTGGAACATAATGGCCGTGACTTCTTTTGTCCATGAACGTTAGTTTTACGATTTGTCTAGTTTCAAACTGTTATGCAGAAATCCGTGCATCATATCCTCTTTACACAGCTTTGAACATCTCCTCTAAGCTAGTTGGAATTTGTGAGCATTTTGGACAAAGCCAGATTTTTCCATTCCATCGGCACGCTTTCAGAAGCCAATTACCAGTAAATCTTGAGATTTGTCAAGGGAAAAAATTCTAAGCAAACTGGATCCGAAAAGCAGAGGTACTTCTTCTCGTCATCTTTTTCAACTTCAGTATTTCTCTAGACACCATGTATGTTTCGTTAGTATCTTCAATAGTTTGTCCAGCCAAGCGCAGCACAGTTAAGGTTGAGGATTAGGTACCAACTTTTGAGGTAATTGCAATATGAATTACCATATCATTATTTCAAATTAGTGGCAATGTGGTGCATGCTTTGTTCAGTCTTGACAGAACTTTTGTTTTTTGGTTTGAATTTGCTATGAGCATACTTCATCTCGAATAACAACACTTGGGCAGCTCAACTCCAATCATGAAACGGTTTCCTTGTACAAGGTATTTCCAGCATGAATTATCACTTCAAATTATTGGCAATGCAGTGGATACTTTGCAAAGTCGACAGCATTTTTGTTTCTAGTTCATTCATGTGTTAGTGATTCCTTGGTTACCTTTATCATTTGAGATGTCGTCAAACTTTGGCTAAATCTTGGAAGGCTTTCAAGATATCAGGTACCAAAATCAAGTATCTTTCAAATTCCAATTTGAGTAGATGTGGTGTATGCTCTGTTCACTTTTCACAGCAGTTTAATGTGCCAGATGGAATTTACATTAATTGAACTTGGTCACCTTCAAGCTAAGGCCTGGTGTGAACATCGTGGCGTAAGTCATTACTTGCCAATCTATGGACAGTCGACAAGCTCTTTCTCATTGGTGAATGCAAATTTTTTGGACATTGTACTTGTCAGTTGTGGCATTCATTCCAAAATTTTTTTTGTATGTGCAAATGTTGGATATTTTGTCAGGTTCCACAGTCTTCTGGTAATTTTTCTGTCCCACTCCGAAATAAGGTGGATTGTGTGCCTGCAGTATCAAAAGCATCGAACATTTCCTCTTGACAGTCAGCTGTTTGTAGTCTTTCTAATCACATTTGTTCAGATAAACTCTGGTGAACTGGATACCTAAAATTCAGGTATTGAATCTTATTTTTTGCCACTATTATGGTTTGATTTCAACATGCATGTCAACACTATGTGTGTTCCATCAGTATCTTGAGCAGTTTCTGCTGTGGCAAGCTCCACTTCAACTCGGATATACAAAGTAAGACATGATTTTAGTCTCATTTGCCATCACATTCAGTTTGAAATGGTTGTCTGGGAAACAGTGTATACTTTGTAAGTCTCGGCAGCTTTGTGAACAACTCCTACAGGATGAAGGTTAGTTTTCAGATATGTATTTGTTTCTGGTCGCAAAGGTTTTGTATATTTCTTTTTCAAGTGTAGTGAAGCGTAGTGAAGCATTGGATGAAGGAAAACAATCTCGGTAAAACATTTTCTGTTTTTCCAATATTAAAGTAAATTTGAACTCCTATAGTTCTTTTTCTAAAAAGTCAATTTTTGTAGTTGTGCAAACAGTGTATACTTCATTCTGATCTTAACAGCGTTAAAGTTTAGTGGATTTGCATCTGCTTCAGGTTGCGTTTTTGACCTTCTTTTGTAATCTCAGTGAATTAGTTTCTTTGCTGTCATTATTGTGTACTGTTATTGATAAATATTAGCTACATAATGTACATTAAGGGAACATTAAACTGTAGTTGGTTATACTTTCATGATAACACAGTTATTAAAGAAATTTGTTGTGCTAGTTCTCATAATTTAAAGAAATTTAGTGTGCAGTACTTTTATTTTAAACTGATTATGGATCATGTATGCAGCAGTGTCTATGCGTGGGCTAAGCCTAATTTAGCAATTAGATTAAATATGTTGAAGTAGCAGTGAGGTCAGGATAGGCCAGGGTTTAGGTTGCAGATGTACCAGCAGACATCACAGTGTGGAAGATGAGGAGGATCTGCTTGAAAGCAGGTGAGTTGAACTCCAGAAGTCCCATTCCCAGGAAGGCTAAAGAAAAGCTAGAAAACAAGGTTACATTACCCTTGCTATTTTTCTTTTGTTTTCATAGGAAGGTGTAAACTGTAAGGATGCTGTGAAATGAATTACACTCCAGGCTTGGATTAGCACATGTTTGAGGTACTAATGGAAATTAAGAATTATTTTTAATACTACATCTGTGCAATTTAATATACATTTTTCTTTTCACTGAGTCAGTGATTTTTTTTCTTTCTTTTCAGATTTATTTTTCAAGTGAAAACATTGGAGATTCATCTGAAATTATATTCAATTCGAAATGTGTAAATTTTTTGTGATAAGTCTTTCATGGCATGCCTGGGTGTCAGCTGCCTGCCCTGGGCCAGGACTATGTTTCCAGACTGTTTTTATCCCACAAGGGTTTTTTTAAGTCTGGTTTTACGCAGCCGGCAGGCAGCACATAAAACAGATCTACCTGACAAATCAGTTTGATTTCATTTTGACTGATATATCTTTGGATCATGCATGGTTAATTAACAGAGTTTTTGGTGTTTAGTAACTTGGTATTAATTGAAAATAAACTACGTTTGGATGATATCTGTGCTGTCTTTCTCTTCTTTTTTTCTTTTACATTAACTATTGTGTTAAATTGCATGGTACGACTTAAGAGGGCTAAAATAATGGGGAAAGCGAGAGGTAGCTAACCTTTCAAATCCCACTAGTGACCTGGACAGAACTTCAGTATGATCAGTATGATGTCAAGCAGACAAGTAACGAGAATAGAGAAAAATGTCAATTAGGGGATTATTGGTTGATATAATTCCAAATTCTCCAAACTAGCATCACTTGAGTTGTATGCAGACAAAAAGGAGAGTTACCAATGAAATCTTGGGAGTTAAGGGTTAAGTTACAGTACTTGACACCTAGCTTCCTGGGATGATAAGAACTTTTTCCACTACCACTATGATGATGGAGCTGTTAAGAAGCTAGTACATTTAAAAAACATTCATGCCATTTTATCTTAAATTTTTAACATTAAGGCAAGGTCAATCGTTGCTTTAGGCATACTGGAGTAGCTCTACCGCTTCAAATTGACTTGTATTAGTCAATTTAGCGTTTGATACCATCTTGTCTTACTGCAAAGTGACAAAAACCATCTGACACTTTTGTTCTCATGGCTTGATCAGAAACAAAATTTCAACTCTCAGAAGTGCTTCTAAATTTCATCAATTTACTTACCGGTAAGTAAAACATATTGACGAACGAGAAATGCACAATGCCGTCAGTTACTTCTGTAGCAATTGAGTCGTGTGTTTCAAGCAGAGGAGACTTGTTGAGCGACTTCTGCTCGAAATAGCCAAACGAGCGGACAAGGTGTCGTGCGGGCTTACAGTCAAGTCGACTGAGAGTCATCTCGCCCAAAGTCATGTCGCCCGAAACACGAGTCATGTTGCTCAAAATTTTAGTTACGTCGCCCGAAAAAAAAAGTCAAGTCGCCCGAAGAAACAATTACTAAAAACATCAGAATTTCAGACTGTAAATAGGCAATAAAGTTGAGAAATTTTTCACACTAAAGCACTCTTTGTTTTCGACAACACCATAAAGATTCTAAAAGCGTTGTTCGTCCCTTTCAACAAAGGGAAACGTTCGTTTCTAATAACAAAATGAAGCGTTGTTCGTTTGGTATATAATCGTTTCTTACTCACGGAAATTTCGTAAGCTTGAGAAACTTTATCTTGGTTTCTAACAATACCATGAAGGGAAGCGTTTCTACAACAACAAATGCACGGATGCAGCGTAACATACAAGTAAAGTTCTGTTGTGTCTATTTGTGACTTTCTTAACAATAACAAATGAAGAAAAACAGAAACGAATGTCGATTGTCGCGTTTGACGAGTCAGTAAAGGGTCAACGCTTCATTTTGTTGTTAGACACGAACAACGCTTCCTTTTGTTGTTCAACGAACAACGCTTTTAGAATCGTGGCTCAAACAGATTTCAATTCCGACCATACGATCGATTTCTGTGTAGTCAAAGTCTTCATGACATTGTTAGAAACCAAGAAAGAATTTCTCAAGCTTAGGAAATGTCCGCGAGTAAGAAATTAGTACAGACCAACCAACAATGCTTCATTTTGTTGTTGGAAACGGACAACGCTTCTTTTGTTGCTAGAAACGAACAACGCTTTTAGAATCGTTTCTCAAACGCACGCTGAAATTCTGATGTTTATTGTATTTGTTTCTTCGGGCGACTTAACTCTTGTTTTCGGGCGACATAACTAAAATTTCGGGCAACCTGACTAAAGTTTTGGGCGACATGACTCTCGGGCGACTTGACCGGTTACCGTCGTGCGAGATGGCCCCCTGCAGCAATACTCAGTGAATTTTTCAATAAAGGTCGAATGAAAGCTCGTCATTATTACTAATTTAAAGCCACCATTAGGCTTGTTTTTTTTCGCATTTTGCAGTTCAGTGGGGGAGAGCACAAAGCGTGCAGGAGGGGTGATTCTGTTGAAAGGGGGACTTTCAACAGTCCCTTCTTTTTGGCGAACTCCATCGCACATGGTTGACATGGTCGTGCGTGCTAAAAATATTAAAGTGATGCTACTTTTTCGTACGCCTCACTCCCAAAGGTCGCGCGGGGGACCAAAAATCTTTTCTTTGCAAACTTTTCAGACGCGCCACTGAATTTGCCGTAGAGGGACTGCTTGTAGTTCTTGCGAGAGATGGAGCATAGAAATAAGACTAGCTATACGCTGTGAACAGTGATGTGTAGTCGCGCGTCATTGTATTTTGCTTGCACAAGAATGCAGAGCTGCACACCTGCTATGTATGCTATGCAAAGCTCACTGAGAAAAGACTTTCTCTTGTGGTTTAGTCTCTTGATTGGCTTTTAATTTGCCAACTTTTTCACAGACACAAGTCCCTATAAATAAGCAGTGGAAGTCAGCACAAACGGCAGTTTACAAGGACTAGATTTGTTCTTGCGTATTTTGCTCCACCTTTTCGACCCAGTTTTTCTGGGCTGTGGTGACTAGCATGTAATTCCTTCTTACAGCATTACCCTTGGGTCAAAAATTAAGGACATGAGAGCAGAGGAAAAGAATTATTGTCAGAACTATAGAATTTATATAGAAAACTGTGAGGAAAATATGCTTACAAATGTAGGGCTGTAAAGGGTCAAATTTCTTAATGGACAAACATGGATTCCAAAATCAACAGTGAACATGAATCAATATTGTGGCAAAAAGTGATAATTTAGTGTTGTGTTCTCAAAGAGCTGGTTTAACAAATGAGGGTCAAATGTTTTCATGACAACTATTATTTTATTTTATAATAAACCAAACTAACTCTTTAATTTGTTAATTCTATCTATTATACTAGTCACGACTTTTACTAAATAAATTGTGGAGTTAAGAATAGCAGAGCACCATAAATGTGTTACAATAATTACTGACTGTTTTCTTGCATATCTTGTTTATCATCTGTTACAACATGAAATTCATGCTCTTTTACCACTTCCTCATCCTCGCTGTCCTGTCCAGACTGTTCATCGGTCTGCTGAATAAGCCCAGACAGGTCCACTGTCAAATGGGGTACGACCCCACCCTGTTCCTGTCCTGGTTCCAACTCCACAGAAAGAGGCAGCTGGATCTGCCCAGCAAGGATGTGTTGGCTTACAACACCTTGCATCATATGCTCAACATTTGACTGATGCAACACCTGATCCACAACAGACATCTCTGACTGGCTACTTGTGGGAATGATGGCTGCTCCATCTAGCATGGTGTGAATGACAGCTTGCTGAGCCACGACAGTTTCTGCCAGGGACACAACATCAGCAGTTGCCCGCACAAGACCATCTTGATTTACCATTGGGTCATCAGTGGCATGCACTAGCAGAGACATTGTCTGAACTGGCGTGGTTTCTATGGACACTTCCTTAGCTACAATGGGTTGAGCCAGTACCAAATGGTCACCTGACGCTTGTGTTACTATGGTATGCTCTCCTTGTGAGTACACAAGGGCTTGGGAAGTAATGGACTGCTCATCTTCTCCTCCTAAAGATAAAAAAAATAAACAAAATTACAGCACTTTTCAGTTTCCAGAACAATAGCAAAAATATAACTAGTCCATAGGCCAGGTAACTAATAGATCTGTACCTCACTAGAAGTTTGGGAAAAGCATGATTGCTCAAACCTTAAAGTTTCTCCAAACTCTAGATGAATCAAACTTAAACTGTCTTCCAAGATAAATTGGTTTATTAACTAAGTTGACAGTGTAAATTAGCCACCATAAGTAGTCTCTACACGTGACATTTCAAGCATTAGTCCTTTTGTCAGAGCAAATGGCCAATTTACACTCATTCGTCAACTGACACCAGCCAAATAGACACAGCACCACAGCTCCTTACAAAACTTTGTACCTTTAAAACTGCCTTCCCTTTCCTAGTGGAACACTGTAGTCATATCCCAATTTTTCTACCCTTCTGATAACCAAAACCAATCTCCTTTTCCCCAGAAGGCTAAAAAGACTAGGATTTTGTTAGTACCCAGCTTATTTGATTAAGTGCTTAACCTCACATAAACACTCCCCTTGTACAGCTGTAGCTAGAAAAATGTAATAAATTTATATTAAGCACTTTGACCCTCACAGAGCATGTTGTGTTATGACTTGTTTCTACAAAAAGACTATGCTTGCCTGCTAACATGAAAAAAGGACTATACCTGTATCCTCCATATCGTCAAGGTGCTGAAGCATCTGGCCACTTTCTGTATCCTCAGTAATCTGTGTGGTAGTACCACTCTTGCTTGTTGTCTTCTTGCTTCTCTTGTCACTCTTGTTTGCATCTGCATGTCTCTTTTGATGAGCATTGCGGCTTCCACTCTGACTAAATGTCTTGCCACAGATTTCACAGACATATGGTTTCTCTCCAGTATGTATAAGCTTGTGTTTCCGAAGACTAGAGTGTTCAGTGAAAGTGCGACCACATCCTTCATAAGTACACATGTAAGGTCTTTCCCCTGTTAATGGGTAAAAAGTGGTAAAAGTGAGCAATCAGAAGAGCCTCAAAAATGAACCTATAAATAGCAACTAATAAGTGAAGTTAGGAAGGTTGGGGATTGTCCATTAAAATTTGATGGGTTTTGAATGAGTTCTTAAAGGATATCGGAAGTAGGCGCAAAAAGGCAAAGGATAAGGTACACTGGGAAGTTAAAAAATTTTAAGGAAGAGAGAGATCATTTATCAGGTGTTATCTTCAACTGAGAATCCTGTATTTGACTTACCTGTGTGTATGCGCATATGATTCTTCAGATTTCCTTGTGTTGTAAAAGATTTCAAACAGTTTTCCACATTACATGTGTAAGGCCGTTCACCTGTGTGTACTCTCATGTGAACATTAAGCCTCTGTAAGACATAAAAGCTTTTGTTGCAACCTTCAAAAGAACAATGATAAGCTCTGTCTCCTGTGTGAGTCTTCATGTGATATTTCATGTGTGCTGGCCATGCAAATACACGGTCACATCCTGGGTGTTGGCACTTGAATGTCCTTTTTCCATTGTGTGTACATTGGTGATATCGTAGATAGCCAGATGATGTAAAGTTCCTGCCACATCCTTCATGTGAACATGAGTATGGTTTTTCTCCTGTGTGTGTTCGCACATGGTATCTGAGATGTGCTGCGGTGGTAAATGTTCTTCCACAATCAGGATAATCACATTCAAACAACCGTGATTGATTTCTAGTCGACATAAGGGGAAACTGCATTAGTAACCTAAATTTGTTTTTTAATTTCCTTCTTTTCTTTATTTTCTCCAAGTAATATAATTATGAAGATTTTTAAAGAAATATTTTCAAAATAGATAAAACATTTTGAAATTTTATATGCTCAGAGATAGGAGAGCAAGTAGAAAAACTTCAAAACAAGATTATCAAACACTTGGTACTTACTTGGTTGCTTCCCTTGACCTGGGCAACACAAGCATTTGAGTTTGCTGACTTTCCTCTGGTGAGCTGCAGTTCTGAATGTACAATAAGCCTTGTAATGAAAAAACAGAGGACAAAAGTGTTACTTTTGTTATTTTTTTGGTTGAAAGTCAGCTATTGTGCATTTCACTTTTGCTTTATCCACAAGTGAAATGAATAATACAATAACATTTTTTTAAACAAAACAACAGGTGATGAATGTAAACTATAGCCTGATTCAAGTGCATAGTACCTGTATCATCTGCATCTGTTTCTTCACTTCTATCATTTAACACTTGTGGTGAGCTGCAGTTGATGGTATCTGTCACAATGGTGACACACTGTTGCTCTTCATTCCCTGCCTCAGTTATTATTTCATTTGGAATTGACTGCATCACATCAGAGGAACAACTGGAAGACACTCCAGATCCTTAGAAGCAACAACAAAATTGAATGCAAACTTGTGTTAACAGATAATACCCAATAAAATTTACTAGTGACCAAACTAAAACAGGATTGACGTTGAAGCACAAGGCAATGTCACTATCCAGGAGGGGGAGAGGGGGGTTGCAATACTTAATAAAAGTTCTTTCAGTTAAGGGATCAAGGTAAGTTGTGCATTTTGGGCTATCACTTGAGTGTAAGACAACTTGTCCAACTAGGCTCATCTGTTTCAGACACTATCATTACCTTCTTTAGCCTCTACATTTGAGCACTCATCTGATGAACATGCTATCAAAGAATGCGATTCTTCTGAGAGAATCTCAGGAGATGTTGGAAATGCTTCTGAGCCAATTGCCACAAGACTTTCCTGTTCGACTGACAAATCCATGACAAAAACAGCAGAACAAACTACAAAAGAAACATTTATTAGATCTGGTTCACAGCAAAATCTTGACTTTCTTACTCTAGCCTTTTTCAGGCTGTTATTGGCTGCAGTGATGATTTTCGGCCATAACAGACTATTTCACTTGTTTCATCCATAAAACTAAAATAAGACTTTGGATAAGAGTTGGGTTGATGCCAATTAATATATAACTGATCAACTGATTGGCAGTCGAATAAAGCATACTGATATTCCTACTACTCCTTCAAATGGAATATAAATTGTGATTTAACCCTTTACACCCTAACATCAATATGCATATTCTCCATACTGTTCTCCATGTTTCCTTGGGTGCTGACAGGGAGAATTTGTTTAAAAATCAAGAGCGTCCTTAGTTGGTGATCATTTCCTTTATTCTTGTGAGCCTAATTTGTGATTCAGGGGTGATACTGTAAGGAGAAATTAGATGCTGGTCACTCTCAGAGGTCAAACTGTACTCCATGTTTATTTTTTTGCTGTCTCTAAAGCACAACTTGATCTTTCGAAATAATCTAGGTGCATTTCAAAATTTTCCGGTATGATGGGTGCAAACGGAGACAAAATTAAACACTTTCGTCTCCTAAGTACACACGCTCATTTCCAAGTCATCCTTTAACAAACTTTTTTTAAGGTTTTCGTTCGGACATGCTTCATTTAATTAGAGGTAAAAGACTGTAAGTTAATACATTAATGTACGAAAAGCAAGGGAGGATGGAGTTTCAACATTCACCCCTTTAAAATTAGCAAACGTCCACGAACTTGACAATATATTATGCAGATAATGTACTTCGTTTCCGCAAACGCCGAAAAAACAAATGTAAAAAAATCGATGCGCACTAGACGAGAACGTCTGAACAATTGTTTAAAGAGTTTCCCGTAAACATCTGACCTCACCATACTAAGACATATCCCTCTGAAATACTTCTTTATGATATCTACCTAGCCTGATCAGCTAAAGCATTTTAAAAGTTACGAATCTGATGACCGTAGTATGTTTCAACGTTTTTTTTTCTCTACATTTTAATGTCAACATCTTGAAAGAAATGTGGCTAGTTGAAAAAACCTTCACCCGTTAATAGCAATAACGCATGTCTGACTCACGCTCGCAACAGCCCGCGCTGTTCGGCCATTCTAGCGTTCTTTAGGATAATCATACTGACTGAATATACCTTTAGTCAGCCTCTTTCAGCTGGTTGTATTTCCCGCTTCTTTTTAGTGATATATTATGGTCTTTTTTCTTGTGAAAAACTATCATGGTTTATCCGCCATCCCTTCATTTCTTTCCTTACGGTTTGCCTTCCCTGCTAACCTTGCGCGCCTTCATGCAGAAATAAAACCGGAAGTCGACTTGATTCTCTCGTCATCCTGGTCAGTCACGAAAGTCGTTATTCCTATATATACGTGTTTAGAACATAAATTTCGCAACACTGAAACCTGTTCACTGTTGAAGCTCATGTATTCTTAGTTTCCTATTGAATGAAGATCTGGACCGGGTGAAATAAGTTTTAAAGGGTACGAGCAAAAGGTTAATTTTCTCTAAAGTTTATGTTAAAAATTTTTGCTGAGACACGATGAAGGAAAACAAAAGTTACGTTTCATCGTTTCATGGATACATGTACGGCAGAATTTACTGCTGATTTCTCTCAATTTTCTTTATGCAAAATTTACTTCCTTGCAATTTGAGTAAACGTCGGGCCAAAGTTCTCGAACACGGTTTCAGGTCTTTGTAAAGTACACATACGATCAGACGAGTTTCGAATGCAGACGCTTTCGAGCACGTAAACGAGGCGGGCTTAATTAATTCATGAGTGGTGCACGTGCCGCGTTCGTGAATGGGATTTTACTATCAACAGAGCGGAAATAGTTTACTGAACTGTCAAATTTACTATTTTTGTATTTGAAAACAATAGCATCTTCGTTGATCGCCCTTCGACTCGTGAACTTTCGTGATTGCTCATATTCTATAAATGTTACATAAGCAGAAATATAATATCCAATAAAAAATTCCTATTTTGTAGTGATCACGAGTTGAGAGATCTCAATACTCATTCATTCCCTCAACGATGTTTCACAGAAAGAGATAGAGAAAGGGCTCCAAAACCTGTTACATCCGGGCTTTTGTAGCGTTATGACTGGTTTAAACCGGGAAAAGCGGTGCAAACTGGCCGCGGTGTTCGCTGATAAACTCATCCAGTGCTCCGATAAGGTCGCATCGAAAATTGTTCCCGTAATTTTTTTACGTTTATATCCAGATTATATTTATTTCTCGTGATCTGTCTATTTGCTCCAATGCCTACAGCAATGGCAACCATAGAGCATGCCACGCAGCTGCTGGATTTTACGCAAAAACTCGATATAACTTTACTAGACTCGGTTGTCTCGTGTTTTTACATGGCACAAGGACCACAGGTTCATACATATTTTCCGTTTATTTTATGACTGTATCATGTGCAGATTTTGGAAATGGCCGTCTGATTGACGGATTATTTTTCGCTTCATCAGCAACGAATGGCAGACCAGATCCTAACTCAACTCAAACAGCACCCGGACGCCTGGACTAGAGTCGACACAATACTCGAATTTTCAAATAACCAGCAGACTAAGGTAGGTTTCAATATCTGGATTTTCCACAAAATTTATAATTTTTTTGAGTCATTCTAATGATTCTTATTCCAGTATTTCGCGCTCCAAATACTCGAATCAGTCATCAAGACGCGATGGAAAGTTCTTCCGTCCGAGCAGTGCGAAGGTTAGTCAGCCAGTAGAAAGTTTACTGTAAGTCTGTCAGAATAAATTATCATTTCCATGGTTTGACAGTAAAACCAATTAAAGAAATCCTTCTCATAAGGTAAAGTAAGATTTTTATTTTTTATTTTTCAGGGATTAAGAAATATATCGTAGGGCTCATAATAAAAATCTCGTCTGAAGGCGATATGTTGGAGGTGTGTTAGTGTAGTGTTGTTTACAAAGTTGGTTTTTGTTTTCGCGTGACAATTGTCTAATACTCTGTCTTCGCTGCGAAGTTTTAAGTCTCCTCTTCAGTAAACTAAATTTTTATTCTATTTTCAGAAAGAAAAAACATATATTGGAAAGTTGAATATGATTTTAGTGGAGGTATGTGAACTTAGGTGTCCGTTTACCATTTAAAGGGTGATTCCCGCCAAAAATATTCACATTTTGAATGCTACTTTCAGTGGTCAAGTATAGAAGCGACATTTATTTCGGTAGAAGACGGTTGTGTTCGTCTTTGCAAACGAGATCTGTCGTATTTTAAGTTCTAAGTTGTCAAAAACATTGATTATTTAGTCAGCTAATGCTGTTTATGACAGGTGTTTATGGGTAATAGGAGAGAATGGCTGGTTGCCAGACATAACTTCTCACCATGAGTGCCTAAACTGACATTTTCAGTTGAATTTAAGTACCATATCAATGGACCACTTGATTTTGTTCCTTGTTCCTCAGGTTTGGGTTGCATATTGTAGTTGCTTTCTTGAGCATTGAAAATCAGGCCTTACTGTTTAGCACCTTATTTCACTAAGTCTGATTTGGCGAATAGCATATTATTATTTAAAGTGATTTAAATATTTAAAATGTTGTAATGAATTGCTGTTTGTTGAATTGTGGCATTGTTTTTTTTAATTCCACTTTTATAGTCTGTTTAATTTTAGTTCTTATATTTGTGTAGATTTTGAAGCATGAATGGCCAAAGAAGTGGCCAAGTTTTATCAGTGATATAGTTGGCGCTAGTAAAGCAAACGAGTCTCTCTGCCAGAACAACATGGTGATTCTTAAACTTCTCAGGTAGGTGTTTCTCTATGTAACCATTAAAAATTAATTTGAAGGATTGTATGATTTGGGATGAATTAAAGTTACTATTTGTTATTACAGATTTATTTAAACCTTTGGTGTTGTTGGAAGGCTTTTAACACAATTCTATGCAAATATTTCCTAGACAAGACCAAAATAATCCTTAACCACAAGAAAGAAAATTAAGATTTTTTTTTGTCTTGCATCTATTTATAAAGACCAGGTCAAGATGAATAAAATTGCCAAAAATCTAGTTAGAACGTAGTTTATTTAGAAATGAAATACTAATTATGTTGAAAAAGAAACCTGCAAATCATTTTAAAATATGTATATAAAGGTCAGTTGTCCTGATTGCTCACTTTTGGGCCCATCAATGTCTTTCAAACATTTGTTTTTCTTGACTGCAGTTCTTTTATGGAAAGTTTGTCATTAAATATGAAATTAATTTGAATTGCATTTTTGAGTTATGATTTTTTTAATTAAGTGTCCGTGACCTAATGAGTTTGTTAATTTTTTTCAGTGAGGAAGTTTTTGACTTCTCCAGTGGTCAGATGACACAAGCAAAGGCAAAACATTTGAAGGACAGCATGTGCAGTGAATTCTTGCAGATATTTACCCTTTGCCAGTTTGTTCTGGTAGGTTTTGGACTTAATTTTTACATGTTGGAATACTCACTCTAATTACAAGTGACATAACACTTTCCACATGCAGTTTGATATAATTAACTATGGCTCTGTGATCTTATTTGTCATTAGGTTTATTTCTGATCTTACATGCCTGAGAAAAATAATGTTATTGCAGAGAAGTTATGCAGATGATTTACTCCTACTTGAATTATTTGCCAGGAAACATTTTGCCATTCAGATTTTGAGCTCTACTGGAGCACTTTCATTATAAACTATTCAATATTTTTTTTGTTTAGGGCAACTCTCAAAATGTCACTCTCATTGGTGCAACATTGGAGGTCAGTGGATTGTGTTACTTTGAAGCTTATTACATTATAACTCAACTCCTGTTAGTTCTGTGATTACACAAGGTTTGCCTGGGTCCTGGAAAACCTGGGAAGTCCTGGAATTTTATTTTGTACGTTTCCAGGATTGGAAAGTCCTGGAAATCTGCTTAACTTAAGCAATAAACTTTTCTGAATTTATGTTATAAGAAATGTATATAGACTGTAACTATGATTTATTTTGAAGTTTTGGAAGTGATAAGATTGAAGTTGAAATTTGGAGCCCTGGAAAAATCAAATTAAATCCTGGAACAGTCTACGAAATTTGTTTCATAAAAGGGTACGAATCCTGATTACAGGGTGAGTGGTATGTAAACCAAGGAGATATTGTAACCTCTGATGTTTTTGCAACCCTTCCCTTAAAAAAAAGGAAAGAAAGAGAAAAAGGGAGTCATTTGAATAGAACAGCTGTGGATAGCTGTTGAGGGTTTTAGAGACCTAACATCAGCATGAGGTTACAAACATAAGAGCTCTGGGTTGTTAAGCTAAAGACTGCAATTTTTTGTTATTCTACACTAATTAGAATATACACTGTTGGTTTTTTTTTTTTTTTTTTTTTTTTTTTTTTTTTTTTTTTTTTCTTGTTGTTATTTCACAAAATGGTTTGAACAAAATAAATTTGTAATGATCAATTTTAGAAGGAGGAACAGTTGGTCTGTGGAGCATGACATCCTTAAACTCATTCCTTTTATGCTATTATTGTAGACTCTGCTACGTTTTCTCAACTGGATTCCCCTTGGTTACATATTTGAGACACAGCTGAACAGCACTCTTGTTTGCAAGGTATGCTGGGAAATAACCCATAACAACACAATTAATTTTTTTTGTTCCCTCTTAATACTTGGATTGCTAAGTTTATTATGTTTGATGTGAAAAGTACAGACTAAAGCAGAAGTTCCTTCTAATTTGCAGTTTCTGAATGTACCCATGTTCCGAAATGTGACTCTGAAGTGTCTGACTGAAATTGGTAAGGGTTTTTTTTTTTTTTTTTTTTTTGCAAAAAAAATGAAACTGAAAACTGGCTTTTGAAAGTTTGCAGTCCAGAAATCTTTTGCTATTCTTGCCCTGAACTAGTTTAATCCTTAGTGAAGTAATGTTAGGCAATAGAGTTAAAACTTTTTTTGCAATTGTTTTGTTTTGTGAGTTAGTGAATGTAGCAAGGTACAATTTTATTAGGCTGTTATTTTACTGCATCCAATCCCTCCATTGCATTTTTTTAAAACTATTCTTACAGCTGGCATTGATGCAAACCAGTATGATGAACAGTTTGTAGGGCTGTTTTCTTTAACAATGGCTCAGTTAAAACAGGTAAGCATAGCAATATTAATTTTGGCTACTTCATCCTTTAAATACAGTAACTTCCTGCGGCTAAATACTGCATTTTAGCCACCTGCATTGCAGCCCCTTTATTTTGGAAGAAGAAATTGCTTAGCCAGTCTTATTGTGTGCCACCCTTACAAGCTTATTTAAGGGCTTAAATGCAAGTGCTGGTTTACTGCTCCTTGGGATAGAGATTACTATAACAGTTTGCGCCTTTGTAAATGTTATACACACTTACATATTTCATGTGAATACAAACATGAAGAAACCAAATGTAGTTTTTTAATGAAAATTGTAGGAGCTATAAAATTTGTCTTGTTCATATCAATGTAGAGCTCACTCTTCAGTTTGAATTTCTATCTAGATGCTCCCTTTGACGATCAACATTAAAGATGCATATGCAAATGGAAAAGACGATGAGCAGAAGTTTATTCAGAATCTGAGTTTGTTCCTGTGTACATTTCTAAAGGAACATGGCCAGTTAGTGGAGAAAAAGGTATGGCTGAGAAATTATTTTACATCTCAGATTAGTACTTTTGAGTATACCTAAAGAAGCATATTTGATTTGTAAATATTCTCTTCTTTGTAGGAGGAACTACATACAACATTGTTGGAGGTAAGAATTTGATGGTATATACTTAGTGTCAACTTCCTATGTGCAGTTGATGGTATACTTAATTGGAATGCAAGGGCAAAATTTATGTACAATGCCACACCATAGTCAATTAAGAAGAGTCAATAAAATTTCAATTCAGATCTAACTGTACATGACTTTTTGAGTGCTGAGAGGGAAGTAGCAGAGGTGGCAAAATTCCTTGCTAACCTTGCAAAGTAGACAACAAAAAGAATTATAAAATAATGCAAATAGTTCTCATGCTCTGATTGGCCATAAAACCATTATACATGAGTGTATGTAAACACTGTTTTCGTTCCTCTTTCATTAGTTATTTTATAAAAGAAATGTAAAATGGTTTCCATGTTTACATAGCCTGATGTAAACACTTGGGAGGTTGGGAGAATACTCGATAAGCTGGAAACCACTCCACTTCATGTCATGGTTTCCTATGCTTATCTCGTGTTCTCCCAACCTCCCGCGTGTTATGTGTTATATGTAAACACGGAAACCATTTTACACTTCTCCATTTTTGCATTGTTGTACTTGTAATACATATTTCCAAACAAAGTTATTCTCTGCCTCTTCAGGCTCTCCACTATCTTGTCCTCATCTCTGAGGTAGAAGAGACAGAAATATTCAAGATCTGTTTGGAGTACTGGAATGCACTGGCATCAGATTTATACCGCGAGAACCCATTCCCTTCAAGTACACCTCTTTTGATTGGCTCTTCACAGTCTCAAACAATACCACCAAGAAGACAAATGTACTTGTCAGTATTGTCCAAAGTAAGTAAATTACTGCTGCCTTTAGCTCTTGTTACTTCATTTTCCACAAGAGACAGCAGGAATATAAACCAGGCTGATGGCAAATTAATTGTCACCTTGATTGAGAAACCAGGGTTTGAGCCAGGCCGCACCATTGCACCAATCCTGCACTGCAATTGAAATAATTGTCCCTTAAAAAATGGTCAAGGGGACAATTTTTTCCCCTTCAAAATTTAGGGAAAAAACTCGAAAGGAAGCACACACGAAGAGTTTTATCTCGGTACAGAAATTGCAAGCTAAAACAGAACGTGGAAAGTATATTTTCTTGCACGTTTAAAGTTCATTCTAAAGTCACGTTTCAGTCACACTTTACTGAACACATACGTCTCATGCTCAACCAAGCATGGTGAATGCACGTGGCAATCTTTACTACACTTTTCACAAACATGCGAACTCAAAAGTTCAAAAGCCACCTTCACAATTACGTTTTTCGCTGCCCTCAATCATAATTACGATCACAAGCAAC